ATTTAACAAGATTGTGATTTCTGTGCATAGCAAAGTTGTGAAGAACTGGTTGAGTATGTAGAAAGAAAAATAATTACAAGGAAGCATAAGGTACAAAGATCGTGATTTAAAACTTTTTTTTTTCAATTTGTGATTTCACTTCACTCACAGAGTACATTGATGCTTGCCCTTATTTCAGAGGACTCTCAAAGACAGTGTTCAGTTTCAGGGGATCTTTTCATCTGAGTTCCTTGCCTGGGAATATTTCCTTACTTAAGGTCAGGTCGGAGCGTGCGGTCCTGGTTAGTAGTCACCAAATCTGTGACAGGCCATAAAGTCTGTCGGTGTCTACACCACGGGCATCCTTTATCCCCTAGCAGAAAAACCCCCCAGGAGATGGAGGGCAGTAGTGGGTAGCCATATTGCTCCCAGATCAAGTGACCCCAGAAGTCAAGTCTGCTCAAGCGCCCTTTTCCGACATGACTTTGAAAGGAGGGATTTAGGCTCATGATGATACACATTTATGTGTTCTCATTCCATTTTGAAAAACAAAACATTCATTTTATTGAAGGGACATTTAAAGTTAGAGCTTAATAAAAAGGTGGGGGTTTTATCTCTTAAATACTGAATTGGTGATATGTGAGGAAACCTGGAAAACAGGCAGGTGTCCCAGTGGGTAACTGTCAATGTTCTGTCTTTACCAGGTCTTCTTGAGTAAATCAGTTGTTTAATTCCCGGGGGAGGGGGGTAGGGGGGTAGGATGAGGAAGGAGGATTTAGTGTATTGTGGGTGTTATTTGCTTTGAGATGTTGAGATCAGCTGTCATTATTCATATGTACAAATTACCTCACAAAAGATTCCCTTTTAAATTGACTCTTGAATTATTTTTTTAAATCGACTCGAATTATTTACAGGAAACGACAGTTGGGACTCCTCCTGTACCCTGGCTGAGAAGCTGCAGGTCCCACGGTCCTGGTGGTTCATGTGTAATCCGATCAAGCCCTGGCCTGCTTCTCCCAGGCACACAACCCAGTTCACGGTGACACTCCTCGCTGCTGCGTATTTCCTTTGCTTCTTCACCTTTGTTGCCCCACAACCAGCCAAGCCGACTCACAGACCTGCCATGTTCTCTATGGACTTCTATTCTTTCACCTGGTCAGAGCAGGGTTGGGACAGAAAAGGGAACTAAATGTCACTGTGCTCATTTGTGGCCTCCCAGGTTAAAAAGCTGATGCCACTTGACATTACTCCCTGCTCTTGGCAGGTGTTTTACACAGATGGCAACGGGAGCAATTACATACCTGAATGGGTTCAGGAGTTTGTCTATTGCTGTGTCCTATCATGTTGAACACTATCCTAAAGATGATTTTAGAACTTTCCTTAGTAGTATACCCTGATGCCTCCCAGGCTTTATAGTTTGTAGGCCTTACATGTATTCCTTCATAATAGTCCTCCCTAAAGCCATAATTTCTTGTCCCTTTGTCAGTAGTGATGGGAGAGTTTCTCAATACCCTCAAGTGTTGAGAACTTAATATAATAGTGGCAATAAATCATACCCCTGGGATAGAGTGGCCTGTGAGTCATTATCCTGAAGCTGCCTCTGTTGCCGTTTCAACCCTCGGACTTCTGTGCCCCAAATGACATAATGCGGGTGCTTGCCAGGCTTGGTGGCCACCGAGCCCTTCCACTGAAGCTAGGCATTTCATTCTGTGAGTTTCATCGGCTCCCACTAACGCTGGAAATGAAGCAAGATTATTTCTCTGGTTTCCCAGTGCTTGAAGCTCAGCAGTGGCAGAGTGGTAGAATGGACAAGTAACTGGCACATCTGATGTCAGCAGAAGTTGTAGTTTGACAGTCTGACAGTGAGTGGGCAGCGGGAAAGCACTGCACAGCAAGCACTGGGGGGAACTTGTTCACATGTCTATTGAAAGAGCTGGGAAGAGTGTATGATAGTGTAGATTTTCATGGGGGAATGCTTAGATTAAGATGTGTTACTGCATTGAAGATGATTGCTGAAATTATTTGAAAGAAACAAAGGATTGTCCACTGCAGGTCTCTTGTGAAGACTAGCAATGATGCAGGTGAAGTGCCTGGCGCCAGATAGCCATAGCCCTGCAGCGGGATTTATACCACTCCAGTCTTGATAGTCCAGGTCATTAGGTGTGCTTCACTTAATTACCTCTAAACAAATGTGTTTTACTGTAATAATTTTTCAAGCAACCTACTTAGGATTTACTAAACTAATTGGAGTATCTCGCTCACATGGACAGTTAATGTTTCCTCCAAAACTGATTTCAACCATTACAGTCTATTCTGGACATCGAAGAGCTCTAGTCCAGTTGTGAGAGTAGTTAATTTACGTGTGCTCCTTAAACAAACAAAAAAAAAGATATTAATACTCAAGACTTAATATATCAGAAACATGGGCCAGCTTAGTAGATGGAGATTTGATTCTTGTGCATAAAGGAATCCATGGTTCTTGTGAACAACAGGAAGTCCACTGAGTTTCCAGAGCCCCCAGCACATGTAGATGCTTACATGAGGGGGAGAGCTTAGTCCCTGGATGGATTAGTTACTCTTAGGTGATTGGCAGTGAATATCCCCCAAACCACCCCCATGAGCAATTTTCCAGATGTCTTTAGGAACAGGAAGTGCTAGAGGGAGGACCGGTCACTAATGACACCCATTCATCCATGCCATTGTGAGCATACATGTGCACACTCTGAGATTTTTTTAAAATTTAAGATGGAGTGCAGGAGGTAGACATCAAGGAGAAGAGAGTTATGTTTCTTACTTGAGGTCCATGGATCCTTTGAGAATGCAGTATTGGTGTCTGGGGTCCCATGAACCTCCGTAATGGGAAGCAGCATTTGGAGTTGTTATTTATGAGATTCTCAAAGGTGTCCTTGACTTAACAGAACAGTGGGGGCTTCAGCTGTGGTGGTAGCCACAGGTGCCGTCCATCAGTGTATAAGCTTTGCTCCTACTTTATTGACTGAAGTAGAGGTATCACTCTAGATCAGTAGCTGACGCAGGCCTACTTTCACTGGTGCTTGGTGAATGGCCAGGTGTCCAGCCCAGAGGTGTGGGGCACAACCATGCCCCATTAGCTGACACCTCTTGGGGACATGCCTTACCATCCATGGCCTGAATCTCACCATTGGTGAACTGAGGGGTTTAAACAGTATGAACTCTGGAGGCTCCTTCTACTTTTTGTAAAGCTGTCCTTACTGGTGCTGCCTGGACTACCTCATAGCTTCACCCTCAAGTGCCTGAGTACCTTCTTGAAGTTTCCATGAGGGTTCATCCAAGGAGCACCTTTGCTGCTGTTCTGTTCTGTTCTGTTCTGTTCTGTTCTGTTCTGTTCTGTTGCTCACAGATGTTCCACTCCTAGCAAGCTGACAGAGCCTTTTTCTTAAAATCTCAGGGAACTGCAGTAAATGTATGGTGCAAAATCCTGCTTTCATATTTTAATCCAAGTTTATTTTCTGTGTGCTATTTTTTTGTTGTTTTTGTTAGTTTTAGCCTATTTTTACTTTGTACAATGCCAAGTGCAAGAAAGTGAGATGCAGCCAATTTTCGACTTGTTGCTGAATCACTCTTTGGGCAGGGAATACTGGTTCAAGACTGTTTGCTGACTTGTGGAAATTGTTCAACAGGCCAGGTCTGTGGAGTTAGGGTAGCCATGGGAGAAATGCTGCACCCAGAGCCCTTCCAACATGGGGCTCCAGATAGTCACAGGCCATGATTGGCTACTTGTTCTCAGATGATGGTTTTTGGTGTAGATCATTATTCAAATGAGAAACAGAAAGGACACCCAGGGACTTCAGCTGGTGGTGGTTGGGGGTGGGGGGGGATCAGAAGGGGTGTTCAGCCCCACTCTGGCTGCTGCTGGAAGATAGAAGAGGCAACAGCAGGTGCCAGTATGGCTGCATTCCACCTTTGCTGAAAACAGAGTGAAGTTCTGGCTGGCTCAGGTTTATTTATTTATTTATTTTTATTTTGGGGAAGATATTTCTTAAGTGACAGTCCTAAATCTACCTGGCCTTGCTGGACATGCTTGTTATTATGCAACCTTTGCAGACTCCTCAAAGTCCACTCTCAGAAATGTGATCTGATCATGCCTAATCAGTTCTCTTTCTCACTTCCCTGTGAGCTTCTATGCTGCACAGACCTGCATTTCTTAGCTTTGCCGGAGCTGGGAAGTTTGAGCTGCCGCTGAAGTATAGCTGTGGGAGGCGGAGTTTTCTGTCTCCAATGAGGTGCCTTCCACGTCTGGAAAGCCTATCATCTTTCACTGGAGCTTTTACTCTGTAATCCAAGCAATAGCCACGCAGCCTGTTTTATTGTTTGTGGAGTCCTGTGGCTCTGGGAGGTGCTCCAGAGAGCGCGGAAGGACTATGGGCGATCCCTGATGCTGCCTTGTGTGGCGACCAGAGCAGCTCACCGTCCACAGCCACCTGTGTGGGGAAACTTGCAACTGGGCGCTTAGGCGGAAGCCGAACCCCTTTCTCCAGCCTGCGGAGATCCTTCCATCTGCTCCCACAGCTAGTTTTCTGCACTTGTGGGAAAAATGCCCGGGAGAGGCGCAGGAGTACAGTGTGGGGTGCGAGGTGCGCACCAAAGAGGCGGAGCACCTCGGTCCTGCTCTTGGCAAAGTCCTGACAAGTGTTCCTGAAAGGATCCCCCTGCTTCATTTTTTAGATTATACTTCTGTTTATTTAATTTTCTTTTTTTTTTTTGGTAGGGGAGGGCTGTGGATATTCCTGATCTAGAAGCCAGATTCATAGTGTGACTAGGATAAAAATATTTTTTTTAACCCCTCGTCTTCCTCTTTTTTTTTTTTTTTCCCCTGGATATCAGAGGAGCGATCCGTTTTCAGGCTGCCTTGCTGGACTCGCAACACTGATTAAGTGGGGGAACAGGAACAGGCTCCATGAAAGGACTGAGGCAGTTTTAAAAACTGGGCTTTTTGTTCTGGGGTTGTCCTTTGTCTCTAGACGGTTTTGATGTGAAAGAAGATGAAAAAGGACGGTTCTTCAGGTTCCTTCAGGCTTAAGTCAAATTCAGGTTCACTCTCACGTGCTGTGAGTTGGATAAATTTCTCCTCCTTGTCCAGGCAGACAAAGAGGCTGTTTCGCAGTGACGGGGAGCTCGCGGTCTGCGGGCAGCAGGTGCAAGAAGATGATGAAAACTGGACATACAGAAGCCAGCCCAGAAAAGGTGACTTGGTTTTTGTTTTTGTTTTTTTAAACGATTGAAATATATCTGGAAGTTTGCTAGATAGCATTCTTTGTTTCCAGCACTGATCTCTCTTTGTGATGTTTGATCCCATTCGGATTGTGTGTTTGTTTTTGTCCTGGAACTCGTTTGTTTCCATGTCTGACATAACAGTGCTCTGCCAGCTAGATCCTACTTGATTGTGTCCTTCCAAGAGGGAGAAAGAGCTGCTGTTTGTCGGCGCCCTCTCTTCGTCAGCCCACATGCTGGTGGGCCGGGTGAACAGTCCTGGCTAGTTAGTCCACCCCACAGTGGAGTCTTCTGTCTTACAACAGTTTGAGGTGAGGCAGGAAGCGCTTTTCAGAAACACGCGCTGGGGAAACTCTGGGAGTCTCAGATCGTCTTGCATCCTTCTTCTAAGAAGATTGATGAATTACATGAAGTTTCAAACGCTTGAATCAAACAGGTGTTGGAGTAACATCGGGAAAATGAACACGTGAATGGCTTGCCCTGGGGACCTTGGCCAGGGGATTTTGGATTTCTGTCAATTTCCTTTTCAGACCTCCACTGGTCACTGTTCTCAGGATTGACATGTTTGCCTTCCTCAAAGTGAGGCAAAATACTAGTCCTGCTGCGGGAGAAATATTTCAATATTTCTGAACACACCCTACTTTGTATTTAGAATACAAGTTCTGCCTTCTTCCTCTTCTGACGTTGACTGTAGAGACTGAGTCCTTAATCTGGAACATGGTCTCTCCACTCCGATCTGTGGCAGAGCCCAAGGGGGCGCTACTTACCTCTGATAAAGGAAAGCAGACATTCCGCTTGATTGTGGTTTCCCTGTTTGTCACATTCTTCCCATGCCAAAACAAACCTTGCTAGAATCTTTCAGAGACCTGTTCTTTTCCTTCATTTGAACAACAAAACTGCTGAAGTGTAGAATAAACTAAGCTACATAGGTGCTACAGGTGCTTACAGGTACAGTAATAATTCCATGTGCTGAGAATCAAGTGCAGCTCATGAGTAATGTGTGTTAAGCTGTTTGTTCTTGCCCGTTCAACTATGGCACAAGAGGGACTAGTTAATGCTCTTTGAAGACAGCTTTATTGCAGGTTATTGTCGGTCACCAGTGGTCTCCTGCTGCTGAGCTTAAACATGCACGTTTTCTGTTCAGATTGTATCTTTGCCAGGCAGAGAAAAGGCATTGTGCTTCTGGCTGGAGTTATGCATGAGTCCATGAACTTTACTTTTCTAAATCAGGAATAAGCTGTGGTTTTGGTAAATGGGTGAGTTGCAGTGTCGGAAGCCAACACATTTAAAGGGTGGACATAGTAATGCTGTGATTGCATGAGGCTATGGAATCGACTCCTTCAATCTGTGCCAAAGTGCCTTTTATGACTTGTTTTGTTTTAAATCAGCTGCTATCAAGTTTCTGTTAAAGACTGTGTACCGGTGAGTATGTGACTATAGAATTTCTATCACGCATGTCTTATCTAAGTTAACTCTAAAGGGAGAGATGCTATGAATGTCCATGTGTTCGTTGGGAAATGAAGCAAATACTGTACACTTGACTTGCACAAAAGAAAGACATCATTGTAAAGAACAGAGGCGGCTTGTAAAGGGGAGGACTTGTTTATTTAAGAGTCTAAAGATCGCACCCTTCATCTCTTCATGTAACAGGGGGTACAGTAGCCTCATGACTAGTGCAGGCGTAGTACACTGTGCGGATTTGTGTGGCTCTTAGAAGTCCTTGGGCATGGACAGTATTATCAGTTGTGACGTGGAGTTGAGGGAATCCTTCAAAGTTTCCCTCTTGGTCAAAATTCTTGGTATAATATTTTGTTTTCACATTTAACTTACCAAAGAAAATTGTCTCCCAATTTTGACATACTCTCTCAGGAGCATGTGTAGCAGTTGATTCTTAGTCACATAATTCTTTAGAAAAATTATGCAGGATTGGAGTTTTTCCTAGAAGCTTCAGTCCTCTGGCAAGGATTATCAGTCTGTGCTAAGAATGCCCAATGGCCATGATTGGGTTTGGTTCAAATAAATATGCATTGAAGACATACTGATCTGATGGGAACTGTGTGTGTAGCATCTTTCTTTTCTGTTGTATTTCTTTGTCCAGATCACATGCATTGGAACCCCCTCCCTTACAGTAACATTTTTTTTTTTTTATTTACCCAGATCTCAAAGTCTGCTCTCCTCCCCTCCCCTCTCCATATGTACTGCCATTAGGCAGTCACAACTAGCGTAGGGCAGTGTCACTTAACAAGTCACCTCCCTCCAGCAGTTCACCCATCCACCAGGGGATCTGTGGTTGGTGGCATATCTGGTATTGCAGCCTGCTCGCCCTGCCTCTTTCATCCAAGGGCTGTCGCAGGGCTTCCTACTTCCATTTTCAGGTCACATTGCAGTAATCAATTAGGCTTCTACCACTGTGGCGTTGTGTAAGACACATGGGTTTGTTTTAGAAGATTTTTTTTAATAGTGAGTCCCCATGCTGTCTTGCTTATCAGCCTCATCAAACTAAAATTCTTAAGTGGTTATTACCCTTGGCGGGTTATCTGTCTGCACATAAATATATAACTTTACAATTTAATGTTACCACATACATTCATGAACATGGAATAAAATTACAGTGTTTGAAACTTCTTTGGGAAAACTTATAGCTTAGGTACTAGTAATAGGCATCTATCAAAATAGACTGCTTTTCCTGAGTTTAAAAAGCAACTCGGAATATGTGTTGATATGTCCAAAGCAATCACAAGTAAACCCCTGTATGCTTTCTTTTGTTCTGGCACACGGCAAATTTCAAAACTCTGATATTATGTTCAGAAGGTAAAAATGAATTGGGCGACAGCGGTCATCAGTTTTTACATTCTTAGCGTGATATGACCCACTATATTAGCAAGTGATATTTTCACATAATTAGCCGTAAAAATCAAGGATATGAATCAGTATCCTCTTGAGTGTTAAATTCATTGAATCACGAGCTGTTTTATTAGATGCCTGTGCCATAAAAAAGGTGGAATTCAGTTGTAGTTACTTGTAGTCAGTCTCAACTACAACTAACCTCCACTTTTTTTTTAATGGTACAAGCATCTACTATGTAGCTTTTCACATGGATTTCTGAGAGTACTTAGAAGGAATTCATTCTGAGTACAATGTGTTGGATGTAAAGGATGTACAGCACTCGGTCCTTGGAGTTAGGGAATTCATACTTAGAGAAGCAGAGAAGAGAGCCGAAGGATAATTTTAGAAAGTGTGAAATGGATGACTTGGGCCAATGCTTAATCTGGAGCATTTTCATGTTTTGCACATCTTTGGACTTTTGCCTGTGATTTAAATATTTTAGCACACTCCTGCTTTGTTTCTGTCCCCCATGGAAGGTTCTCAAGCGAACAAATGGCTAGTGGTATGTATTCTGTGCTTCCTCTGTTTTGCTCACTTACCCTTCTCTTGTCAAAACCAAAAGAGGAATAATAATGGGGCACCTTCTCACTGAGCAGGGCATGTTTTGTTGTAGCCCCAGCTCTCTGCAGAGCAGGGCAGAGGCGTGATTGATGATACTGGTATTGGCAGATCTGCAGATAGAGGGCTGACTGACGTGCTAAGCCTTGATTTAAACACTGCTACCATTTTCCTCTTTTGGATTTCGGATTATTTGTACAAGTAACATTACCAAAGTAAATCATTTCCATTTAGTTTTTTCTTCTTCCCAGGAGCTATAAAATGGCCAGAAGTGGCTTTACTCTAGGTAGCAAAAGTAATAAATAATCTATATACTAAATAATCCGTTGTTAAGCATGAGAGTTGGTTGTATTTTACATATTTTCACCCCTGTATCCTCCCAACAAAATAGTTATAGAAAACAGGATCCTTGTACATCGTTAGATTAGTGATGACTTCAGATATTATGATGGAGGCGAATGGTGTAGAAGACCAAAAACAAGGTCAAGAGCCTGTAAACAGCCACAGCTTGTTTTTTGATCCTAAAGTTATTAACATTAGGGGAATTAAGAATGGTTTCTTCATGGGGTAAAGAATATCATAAAAATTTTTGGCAAAGTAGTATCCCAAATTCTAGATGAAAACTAGACAAATAGTATTATTCTGAGGATCTCTTCCTATACAAGATAAATAGTTACGTGGGTTTTGTCTTTGTGTTTTACTAAAGAGATAGGAAGCAAATTCTCAGTTCAGTGGATGTCATGTTTCCTTCTTCAGCTGAAATGGACATTCTTTGAAAGAGACACTGGGTACCACTTAATATTTTATCAGGTCCATTGAGATGGCCCTTTCAGCTGAAATGTTTTATAGTAGCCTTCCTTTATTTACTTATTTTAAAAGGCTTATGGACTTATTTTGAGAGTTGGATGCTTATTTATTTAGAGTACTCAGAATGTCTTGGAATGATTAGAAAAAGTCATGTCAGAATTTCCATTTGGAAGGGAATACTGTTGTTTTCCATTGAAATATCTTTGCAAGGTTATGAAAGTGTTCTTTTTAAAAGTTCTTTTTAGTATAATTAAAAATGATGTAAAATATATTTTAAAACTACCTCACACTTTAACTTTCGTAGTTGTTAGAGTATGTTATATTCTGGTGCAGTTTCAAGGATTTTGTGTTTGTAAGGTTTCCTATCAAATGCTTCCATTAGTCCTAATCATGGTATTTGATCTCCAGAGCTCTTCCCGTGTTCGCTTCCACTCCACCTTCACTATCTATGGTAGTGAGGCCTTCCTCGGCGTGTCCCTCGCCTTTGAGTGGACTTCTGCTCTTTCTGGTTCTCTTTCTTCTTCTTCCCCCTGTGAGCCATTTTTGAGTCTACCCTGTCATCAGATGGATTTTCCTAACATGCAAATATAATTGGGTCACGCCTCTGTGGCCCCCCATTGCTTACAAATGAAGTCCGTATCACTTAAGATGGTGAAATCATCACCAAAGTCCAGAAAGAGCAAATAGGCCTCTCAGCTCTTCACAGTGCCAGAGCTTTGCGT